ACCGGAGCGCGCGGCGCGGCAGGCACCGGGGGTTCGTTCCGGCGAAAGGCCTGCGGAGGCAGCAGCGGCACCACGTCCTTCACCGGCTGTCCTCGCCGCTTGAGCATCGGAGGACTCACCCCGGAGAGAAGCCCTGCCGGCGCCAGGGCTGCGGGGAGGCCTTTCGCCCGGCGGTGCAGCCCCCTCGACGCCGGAGAGTCCACCCCGGCGAGAAGGCCCGGGCGAGTCAGGAACAGGGGAGAGCCTTCACCTGCGGGTCCCCTTCGTGTGGCCAGGAGGCGTCACACGGGAGAACGGCCCTGCGAGGGCCAGGTGTGCGGGAAAACCTTCAGCGGCCACTCGTCCCAGGTCACGCACGATCGGACTCGGCGGAGTGAGGCCCTTCGGCTGCCCCACGAGCACGAAGGCCTTTAACACGTCCTCCTCCGCGTCTACAAGGGTGTTCATCCCGGGGAAAGCCCTTCGGGGCCCGTGTGGGGAGTCCTTCAGGTGCAGGTGCCACCGTACTCGAAACAGCGTGTCCTTTCTGGAGATTAACCAGAGCCGGCTGGACTGGAGGACGGTACTGTTCCAGTCACCGAACCAAGATCTGGGCAGCAGGCAGCCAGCAGTTGGCACTGACTGTCTCAGGAGGCAGTTTATTTACAAGGGCTCAAGAATCATCAACAGATGGGTTGGCAACGAACCCACTTTGGAAAACGGAGATGGAGCCAAGCAAGTTCAGTTTAAGAGGTCATCTAGTGTCAGAGGATATAGCTCAAGAGGTAGAGTGCGTGCTTAACATGCATGAGGTCCCGGGTTCAATCCCCAGTGCCTCCATTAAAAGTCGTAATAATAATAATTAAATAAAACTCCTTCCTTCCCCACCTCCCCCCAAAAAGCAGGAGGCGAAACCACTGTCCTGTGACTGTTCACCCATGACTAGCAACCCTTTCCAAACTGACCCCTGGTTTGTGTCACCTCCGGTTTATCGTCCTAAAGCCAAGTTTACAATGCAGGTGTGCTAACAGCCAGAGATGAGGCAAAGAGATCACCTCTTGGCTTTTGTCCTGGCAGGAGAGACACTGTGTCTTCAAACCCAATGGAGAACTCCCCTCCCGTGGGAGGGCCTTGGGTGTCGTACAATGTGAAAGAGAGACAGGCAGCTATGACTTAATGCTCTGCATCCTACAAATGGCGGCACCCACGTGGTTCCATGTTTAGCTTAGAATTGCCCGACCAGCGTCCCTTCCTGAACTCTCCCTCCCTCCAGCTGCTGTGTTGTCAAGATCTTATCACTGTGTCTGTCACCTTTGAACAAGGATAGAGGGACCAGCACAAAGGAACAGCACCAGGATGGATAGGAGGGTATCAGAGATAGATGTTAGCGGATGTTCCTAAACTGAGCACACAGGAGTTTTGGGGGGTTTTTGTTTGTTTGTTTTTTCTTGACTTTCTATTACACGTTCATGTAAAAGCATTTATAAAAATCATGATGGGGAGGGTATAGCTCAGCGGTAGAGTGCCTGCCTAGCATGCATGAGGTCCTGGGTTCAATCTACAGTACCTCGGTCAAAAATAAACAAACCAACCTAATTACCTCACCCCCCCAAAAAAGTAAGAAAATAATTTACTATTTGGGAAAATGTGTGTATTTCTGCCACCGTGGGGTACCCTGATGTTCACGAGGCTGGCATAACAGAAGAAAGCATTTTTTTTTAATAAATCTATCGATTTATTTCTTGATTCAACAAATTATCAAGTGTTTCAGGCAAAAAAATAGACAACGATTTCTGTCCCCCAAAAGATTACACTCTAACTGGAAGACAGAGATAATAAGCAATAGACGTAATATGTTTGGAAACAGTATTTCTCATTAGATTAGTGGGGCTGAAGAGTAATAAAATGGTAAGGAAGGAGAATCAATACAGGGAGGTGGGTTGCTGTTTTCAACACGGTAGTCAGAGGAGACCTTGTGGAAAACGTGATATTTAAGCAACGACTTGAGTTGAGAAACACCCGGGAGGGGAAAGTTCAACACTATCCACCATGAGAAAAGGTTTTCCCCCGTTTCCTGTGTGCACAGGTGGCATTCTCAGTTATACTGGGTGGCGAGCACACACTGCCACACAGAGGGGGATGCACACATTCCCCCTCGGTCAACCCTCCTCAGGAAAACCATCTCTTTTTCACGGCATCTCACTGTTGCTTACACACATTATATTGCTAATGCATAATTGTCTTCTTCTAGGAAGAAACCAGAAGCTACAGCAGTCCAGCTGCGGGGACCACATTTATGAGGTAAAGCAAAGCAAAGCTCTGTTTCTTTGCTTCCCGCAGCGGCAGACAGGGAGTGGGGAGAGTAACCCAAAGTCCCCTCCTTAGTAAGCAGTGACTACCCACCAGGCACCCTGCTAAGCACATTATCCCGTCTGACTCCTACAACAGCCTTACAGACTTGCAGAAAAGGTATTTCTATTCTATTTTTATACATTAAGTTGATTAATTTTATAGATGGATATCTTAGACTCAAACTATGGAAACCAACCCAGGTCACAAAGATCCTAAGTGTCTAATTCTGAAGCCGGAGGTTCTGGAGTGGAATCGACTCACTGCAGTCCTTGGTTAAGAAGAAAGCATTTTTATGTTGGAATTTGCTAAGCTTTGACCTGACAGAAGCAAGGGCGGTGAAACAGCGCCCCTTCCGGGCAGCTTTCGGAATCACATTGTCTTGACGATCGCTGTAGCCTACCGCAAACGCTCGGAGAGAGAGCAAGGACCCGTTTTGCCGGTTTGTTGGTTGGTTAAGTTTCTCGTGATTCTGTGTGCGGAGCGTTCGCATTGTACCCGGGGAACGTCGAGTCTCTGATCTGTGTGATTCGGCTGGTAGTGACCCTCCGGGACCCTGCACAGGGCTCGGACGGCTGAGAAGGTAATCCCAGAGCCTCCGTGTTCACTGTCAGCTGCTGCCGCTGTTCCCTTCCACGTGGTCCCCAATCCTCCCCGTCGCCTGAGCTCTTCATGCGGTCTGGACAGAGTAGCTGGACCTCCAACACGATAGACCAGCGCCCCCAAGAGGGCAAAACAAATGGCCGGGCCTTCTTAAATTTCCCTAAACAGGGTTTTGTTAACAAATCTTGCATAACCTGTATCAGATTAGCCCCTAAATATTTAATATTTTTATTCTATTTGTCTTGCTAAAATTTCAATTTGAGTGCTCATTGCTAGTATATACAAACACACTAGATCTTTGTATATCCATCTTACGTTCTGCAACCATACTAAACTCAATTATTCTAAGGTCTTGTTTTGTTTTGTTACATTCCATGGGTTGTAAATGAAAAGTCTTGCCAGCCATATTAGTAAACAGAGAATGCTGTGGCCATCAAGTCATCAGCCACTACCGCCACCATCATCCCCAACCCCTCCACCCTCTGAATCCCTACTGACAGTGAGCACAGGCCACTCAGGATACTGACCCTCCGGCAGCGCAGCCTCTGCAGCCACCCCCATCGGTGCCCCCTGAGGAAACTCAGGAAGGGAAAGAAAAGGACACTGGCCCTAGACAGCTAGGTGCACATCAAAAGAATGATTTCTATGAGCCCAGACCTTTGTGCCTTCCCATCCATAGGAAAGCGCTAAATTCCTTGAGATACCTGGTTTTCTTTTATTAACAGTCATCTTTTGATGTTCTGACTACCTGGTCTTTCTTGCACAAAATCATATATCCTGGCTTCCACCTTGCCCCTTTGGAGCAGTCCCTCAGAGCCATCTGGGAGGCTGTCGTCGTGAGTTTAAGTCCTCAGAAATGTCCCCTGAATAAAACATAACCCAGCTTTTAGGTTGTGCATTTCATTTCAGTCGACTGGCTGTTGTACCTAAGGCGATCGTGTCTTCTTCAAATAAAGACAGTGTGCTTTGCCTTTCGCACCTGGGCGCCTTACTCTTCCTGGCCTTAGTGCTGGCCGGAGCCAGTATTAAGTAGTTACAGC